TAGAATAGAATAGAATAGAATAGAATAGAATAGAATAGAATAGAATAATTCTTTATTGGCCAAGTGTGATTGGACACACAAGGAATTTGTCTTGGTGTAAATACTCTCAGTATACATAAAGAAAAGGTACATTCGTTAAGAATCAAGAATCATAATGTACAACACTTAATGACAGTCATAGGGTATGTATGTATGTATGTATGTGTATATGTATATTTGTTTTCTTAAGTTTTCGTGGGTACTTACATGTATGGTATTTAGCTTTGTTCGGGTATTTTCAGGTATACGTATATGTATATATAGAGATGATGAGAAGAAAAGAAGTGAGCCCATTCCTTCAGCTTGACTGACCCTATATCACAAAGATGATGGTCTGTCTTTGCTTGGTAGATACAAGAGTTCTCTTAGTCATTTTATTCATGCTACAACCCAAACAGATATTTTAAGGGCTGAAGTTTAGTTCATCCCTGTAACATTTCCGGGGGGGGGGACACCTCCTGCTGCTAAACTGCTCAAGTCTCTTCCCGCACTTTATACAAATGCAGTTAATTTTTCAAAATCAGCCTAATCTCTCCTTCCCATCTCCACCCTTTTAACCACAGAAAGTCACTGGCCAAAGTTATCAACTGGAAAAGCTAACCAAAGACCACATTTTGTCACAAGGAGATTTGTGATTTAAAAAAAAAAAGCATTAAAAATTCTTCTCCTTCTCAGCTCGAAGGTGTTATAGAGGTTTTTTTTTTTTTCTTAAGGGAGAAGTTGGGAATGTTTCCAAATTAATAACCTGTTTTTAAAAGATTTTTAGGGCGATGGCTTCCTCTCTTAGCTGGGGCTTCAGAACCTGAAGCACAATTAAATTTAAGGCAGAGATAAGCCTGTTTTTCTAGAAAGGACACGTGAAGTTCACCTTTAACCTAGCCAGTCGAGGATCACACCTGCCATAAAACTTACAGGAACATTGTTATGATTGTTGAAAGGCTGCTCAGAGTCTCAACAGAAGATAAAGTCAGGCAAGATAAACGGCAGTGTTCGGCCCCTAACTAAGTCTTTGAGGAAACTTCTTCTCAGTGTAAACAATCAAGTATGTCCGAATCTCCCTCGTGGAGAAAAAGAAATGGCGGGAGGAGGCTCCCTATCATGGTTCCTGCAGTGATAATAAATCATAGACGGCAGCACTGGATGGTAGAGATGGAAATAATGGCCTAACAGAAGCAAAATAAATCCCACCGCAGGCAAAAAATAACTCAGGACTTCTGTGAGCCAGAAGTTCCTTACTGAACACAAAAATTGTCTCTTTTCAAAGAGGAGTTAAAGCACAAGAGAAATTTGATTTTCAGAAGAAAACTGGGGATGGAGAAGGAGAAGGCACGTGAGTCTCTGAATGGTAGACTACTACACTATCCCAAAGAAATTGGAAGGGTTAAAAGTGCGTACAGCAATAAGGACCAAAACCTACAGCCTTAACTACTGGGGAAAATCGGTTACGCATGCCAGTTGCAAATTCTTCTGAAACCCTCCGTCAAACCTGCAGCGCATGCATCGGTCAGAAGTAGCATGACCTGGACAGCCCAAGGGAAAAGAAGCTGCACCCAGCAACGCCGTGGTTATCCATGCAGAAGGAAAGCGGGGGTGGGGAAAAAGGATCTGGCCACACATTATGGGCACGGGTGCATCCAAGCCTGGAAACACACTAACGTATTTTACATGGAGATGATGCAGGGGAAACCTGGCTTGAAAGCAAACATACTTAGCTTCTTCTACAACTTCCACCTCGGTACGGGCTGCAAGTTGTACGTTGGAAGGTGCTCCCGCTGGCTCTTCAACGTTCAACTCGCCGTTGGTTGAGCTTACCACCTGGAACGAATGCCAACCAAGAAACAAAACTCTGTTAATAAGGGAGCTAAGACCCAAGGGTGGGTCACAAGTCACATCCAATGCAGCCTCTACAGCTCTTCTTGAACCCAATACACACTAAGACATCTTGAGGTCACCGGGTTGGTGATCAACCCTATCTTCCTTCTCTCTTGCAGCCTCTTCTCCTCCATCTTGGCACATCTGTTGATCAGGAAGCCAAGGGGTTTAACACTCACAATCACCACTACAGGGGAGACTGCTTCATTCTGGCAGCCGAGGGCCAGGAAGGAAAACAGAGGATGGTTTCAGATGATGGAGGAGTTTTTTTGTCCATGAAGGGGTTTTTGTCATGCCCCAGTTGGAGTCTGATTCTGAGGGAGAGGAGGAACAGCTGACAGGGAGTGGGAGTGTGGCTCCGGTGGCTGTGGAGGAAACTGGGGAAGGGCACAGGCTGGCTGGGCATTCAGAGAAAGACCCAGGCCCATCCCCTCTTCATCCTAGGGCACGCAGGGAGGTAAGGATAAGGGAGCAACGTGGCTTGCGAGAGAGAAGAAGGCCCCGATCCCTTTTATTATTTGCAGCTAGAAGAACAGGATATAAGTGGGGCGTCTGCACACGGCTCCTTGCTGGAAGCAAAGCGTGCATTACCTTGGTCGAACCTTATCTGGGTTTTGGCGTCCTCCCAACTGTGGATGCTGAGTTATCGTTTGAAAGTCTGTAATTTATCATCCTGGCCTGCTGTGTTAATTACTTCAGTGTGGTTTGTGTTGGTTCTTTTATTTCTAATTATCTTTACTTTGGGTTCGGACTGCATTTCTGCCCTTCGTAGACTGTTTTTTGAAGAGTTTGTTATCCAGCCAAGGATAATTGGACATTGGGGCCAAGTTGGAGGCATTAAAGGGAATTTATTCTACTTTTGTGACTTCGTTATTTTTGTGTCACGCCCTGGGTCATCACAGGTTTATGTCTGAACGTATCCATCTTTTTTGCACTTAATAAGTGTTTGATTGACAGCATACAAATCCCACAAGGGGCAAGGTAGCCTATTTTGTATGCTGGCTACGGCACAAGTCATTTGAAATCCGAAGAATCAGTTATATACGGGTAGTCCTCGATTTGCAACCGCCGTCGAGCCCAAAATGTCAGTTGCTACGCAAGACAGTTGCTAAGTGAGTTTGGCCCCATTTTACAACCTTTCGCGCCAGTTGTTGATCCCTGCGGTTGTTAAAATTAGTAACACGGTTGTGAAGTGAACCTGGCTTGCCCCACTGACTTCGCTGGGCAGAAGGTCGCAAAAGAGAATCACGTGACCCCGCGACACCGCAACCGTCGTAAAAATGAGTCGGTTGCCAAACGGCTGAATTTTGAGCACGTGACCAGGAGGAGGAGGAGGAGGAGAAATCCAAATTTTTAGACTTATGGCCTAAGTCAGGGGTCCCCAAACTTGGCAACTTTAAGACTTGTGGATCTCAACTCCCAGAATTTTCCAGCCAGCTAAGCTGGCTGGAGAATTCTGGGAGTTGAAGTCCACAAGTCTTAAAAGTTGCCAAGTTTGGAGACCTCTGGCCTACGTTCTGTCTCAAACTCCTTCTCCAATTTGAGCCCCCACCAGATGTGGATTAATTGCAAGATTTCTCCAGCCAGATTGGTCTTCCTTGGAAGTTTACACCCGTGGACGATGTCCAGATTGCGGGGAAAACTCTCCTAAAGAGTCAGCAGGGCAATACACAGCAACACCGCACTTAGCTTCTAAGTCTTTTTAGCATTCACAAACCTCCGATTATCGTGCCCGCCCGCCTAGCAGAAGCCAAACCTTGCAGGGAAAAGATGGAAGAAGGGACCCTGCGCATGCCCAAAGGGTGATGGCCAAACGGCTGTGCGGGGAGAATGGGGAGGGGAGGGGGAAAAAAATACAGCAATACCTGGACAGATCCCCCATGCCGTTCGGTAGCCAAGTGAGAGGTCAGAAACAAAGCATTGGCCTGCCGGACCGCCGGAATTTCCCACTCTCCTTTGCGTTCAGACACAGGCTGCCCAGGGCATCAGCATGCAGGAAAGCAAAGAGACCGGAGGGAAGGCAAAAAAAAAAAAAGGTGAGCCGGAACCAAGCAAGCATGTGAGAAAGCTCAAGTGGGACAGGGGAGCAAAGCATTTCAGGCGCCGGATATTCCCGTGGACAAGAAGGCCCGAAAGGCACAAAGCAGTGAAGGCAGGAAAGTGCGTTCCCCTGCGGTTTAAAAACAGGAAATAAATCTATATATAACGGGTAGTCCTCAACTTAGGGGGTCCAAAATTTCTGTTGATAAGGGGAAGATTCATTGAGTTTTGCCTCCACTTTACCACCTTTCTTGCCACGTTCGTTAAGTGAATCACTTGTTAAGTCAGTGACACTAACTGAGTGAATCCGGCTTCTCTGTTGACTTTGCTTGTCAGAAGGACGCAAAAGGGAGACCACACGTCCCTGGAACACGGCAACCGTCATAAATATGAGTCAGTTGCCAAGCGCCTGCAATTTTATCCCACGGTCATTGGGGGGGGGGGGGGGTTTGCTACTACAGTTGTTAAGTGTGAAAACTGGTCCCAAGTGGCCTTTGAATCTCCGTTCTCAGACTGTCAATTTCTCCCAATTAGCATGGGAGACCTGAGTATGTTGTACTCTTGCTTTAAAGACCACATCCACACACACACACACACACCCAAAGCAGCCACGCAGAGTTGTTAAGGGAAAGCTTGCTAGACAAAAAAAAAAAAAAAAAGGTGAAGAGCGGCATTAATAAGGCCGGCGACACCCCTGGCTTTTCTAGGTGCCCCTTTCAGGGATGAACTACAGGCTGGAGATTTTAAAGCGCGAACGCATTCAAGTGAACCAACCTGATTCCGGTAAGGCTGCACTGAGGATCGATCCCGATGCATATGGGGGTCTCGCATTACGGATGGTCCCGATTCTACATGCATGGGTCCCACTGGAGTGGGCTGGAAAATAAAACACAGACACGAGGGAATCCCATTGTCAACTCATAAAACATTTTGTATACACGCTTTATAGTTGTCAACAGAAAGAAGGGGGGGGGGGGTTTCAAAGAGCAGGCGGCAGTGCGGAATCGAAAGTACATTCCATTCATATTTTCTTCAAACACTGATTAGATGACTGAAGCTTCTGCCGAGCAAAAATTTAATTGGAGAGCATGATTGACGACCCTTGGCTATGGACGTGTCTTGTTGGATAATACACCCAGAGGGGTGGGGGTGGGGGGGAAGCAGGATCAAGGGTGACAGTGAATTACGTATCTCAGAGTCATGCCGGCATGTTAACTTCTAATAAATCCTTTGAAGTAATGGGAGTGTGGCTCAAGGCTCATGATTTAATTGGAGTAACTGCTGGAATCCTGATATCCATTCCCTGAAAACAAGGTTAACACTTCCCCAGTTCAAAAGGGAGGAAAAGAAAACCCTTTTGAAAATAAAAATATTATGTGAACACCTAGGCTTGCAGGAAAGTTATTGATAAAATACAGGTTGTCTTTGGACTTACGACCACAATCGAGCCCAAAATTTCAGTTGTTCAGTGAGACATTTTTTAAAGTCAATTTTGCCCCATTTTACTTGCCACAGTTGCTAAGAGAATCGCTGCAGTTGTTAAGTTAGTAACATGGTTGTGAGGTGAATTTAGCTTCCCTGTTGACTTTGCTTGTTAGAAGTTTGCCAAAGGGGATCATGTGACCCTGGGATGCTGCAACCATCATAAATATGAGCCAGTTGCCAATTGCCTAAATTTGGATCACGTGACCATAGGGATGCTGCAACAGTCATTAGGTGTGAAAAATGGTCACAAGTCACTTTTTTTCCAGTGCCGTTGTAACTTTTAACGGTCACTAAATAAATTATTGTAAGTCGAGGGCTACCTGTCCAGGCAGTGACCTTACTTTCCAAATAACGAGATAGTGAGGTTGTGTCAAAACTGAATAGAATAGAATTCTTTATTGGCCAAGTGTAATTGGACACACAAGGAATTTGTCTTGGTACATATGCTCTAAAACAGGGGTCTCCAACCATAGCAACTTTAAGACTTGTGGACTTCAAATTGTTGAAGTCCACAACTCTTAAAGTTGCTACAGTTGGAGAGCCCTGCTGTAAAACTGGCTTTTAAAAAGCAACTTCTGGGAAAAATACAGCAGATCCCACAGGATGGCCACTTACAATTGGTCTGCCAACCCAGTCGTAGGCATAATCGAAGGTGAATCCTCTCTTTTCAAATAATTCAGTGAAGATGGTTCGCAGGTAATCATAGTCGGGTCTCTCAAAGAAGTCTAATCGTCTGACGTAACGAAGGTAGGCGGCCATCTCCTCTGTTAAAGGGAATTAGGAAGAAGCAACATCAGACAATCTGTTCAGAAAGAAGTAGAAGCAGAATACATTTCAGCGTTACCTACTGGTCAGATTAAACCCCCCCTAAAATTATCAGTTTACAGAGGCAGACGAGATCGACAAATCTGTTGCATGGATGGGCCACCAAGCCATGGATTTCTAAAGGGGCCTCCTTAAGTACATCATTGAAATATTTGCAGATTTACGAAAAAGGGGCAAAAACAATAAGTAGGCACCAGTTTTTGGAACTATTGTTTATATTAGCGTTCTTATTCTCCAAACTATTAAAGGCACTGGTGGGTATAAAGATAAAATACATAGCTATAGCCACTTCAAAAGCAGAATTTAGACTTAATGGATTATAATGCAGGTGTATCTTCTCTCTCTCTCTCTCTCTCTCTCTGTCACACACACACACACACACACACACACAACAGCTGATAAAGAAGGAGATGCAGTCTGCTTGCTTTGCGCTGCTGGGATGCAAATTACAAACCTTTGTATATTGGGGATTTCTTGACACGGATGGGTTGCGGAGCTCAGACTGAAAGGGCTGAACTCAACAGAAAGTCCGTCATAAAAAGGCCAGATGATTCAGAGCAGAGCTAGGCAGGGATTACATCACTTCTAAAAGAACTGAAAGCTGATAGAACTTCATATTCTAAAGAAGTTTGAAGGAGAGGCCCTCCCTCATTTAATCAATGTTTGCTACACACGTTCAGATCTTTTCCTTCTTCCCCATGTTTAGAGGAAGAGAGCATCAAGCACCACAGTTTAAGTTTCCAATTTTAAAAAGAAGTTTCACAGGTGGTTACAAATTCGGTGATGGAGAAACCATCTTCCATCACATACAGAACTGAACTTGGAGGACAGACTGGAACCACGCAAACTATGTTTTTTAGAGCCCACCTGGGTCACTGGCACCAGGGTTGACAGAACCAGAAGCTATCAAAGTATCTAAGAGAAACATTAAGAATGCCTTTTACCTGTTGACTCCAAGGAGAGAAGGCTTTGAATATTTCACCTGGAATTTGCTGTTATTTTAATCCAAGTGTATCATCTAGATTTGGGGTATCCAACTGTGGCAACTTTAAGTCTTGTAGACTTCAACTCCCAGAATTCCACATCCAGCATATCAAATATGCTGCTTTTAGTCTAGGCAGCATAAACTATTCACTGCAGCCTGCCAGGTGACTGAAACACCTGTTTGTGGCTGTTAAGCCAACTGCAAAAATGTTTTATCCAATGGAAAGCAGATTGCAAATGTGACATTTTTATCAAACCTGATAAATCATGATAAATCAGCCTAGTTAATATAAACATTTGAAATATCAGGAGTTTGCAAGTAATTATTCATATGGGTGCAAGAAAAAGTCAGATTTTAAAGTGTAAGTGAAATTTGTGGCCAACTCTAAAGATAGTCATATATTAAACTATGGTTTCCAGGTGTGTGCATAATCTTTTTTATATTAGCATATTTTTCTGTACAAGCTACATTCTAAAAATCACCGCCTTAATAGTTCTTATTTCTAGGAGTAATTTACAGAAATGATATGCCACCAGAACTAAAACCAGAACTAAAACTTACCTGGAAAGTTCTCACAGAGAACATCGATTGGAGTATTCCTCTTTGTGTCCCCAATCTTCTGGTATCGCTCTTTCAGTGTATCAGCCTGTGAAATGCAGAGATTCTAATTTAAAAAACTATTATTGGGTCATAATACGAAGGATGCTGTCCTGGAAAGAAGGACAGGTAAAGTAACCAGGGGAACAATATTTGAGTGAGTTATAGAAGCTTGGCAAGCATTTAACTAAGTCCTTGCCTGTCATCTGATACATCTTTATTTGCATCATAACTCAGCAAGTTTTGTTTTTAACACCAGCACTGGGGGGAAAAAGAGTAATTTAAATTTTCCCATCTGCAAAATGAAACCAATTCACTTTCTGTACACCAGCTTCCCTTTGAATTTGCTCAATCATTTTAATAAGGTGTTGTGGGGTGTTTGCCCCCCTACTTTTCTGGGATTTTGTAAGCCACCCACCCAGAGTCTTCTGGAGTGGATAACCATAACAAATCGACTATATCAAATTAGATGGGGCAAAACCTGGATATTGATAGTGAGATGTCCTTCCGAAAGAATGAAAATAAAAATAAATTGTCAGTAGTGGCAGGTAATTCACACAGAAATTATCTGCCCAAACCCAAACGATGCATATTTTAGCATCTACCTTAAGGCCTTGCCATGGTAAACTGCCTCGAAGGAAATACATGAACATGTGTCCAAGAGCTTCCAAGTCATCTCGTCGACTCTGTTCTAAAACACGTAACAGAACAGAACACTGCTCTAACATCTTAATCAACATTACGTTAGTAATTACATTCCTAGTAATTAACTCGTGTCATAAAGAAGACATCCATAAATATGCAAACACAGAAGCAACGTATCTACAAGGAACCAGAGAAATTATTTAGTAAAGGTTTGTTCTACATGTACAACAGAATTGAGTTATTATTCATATTCTCCAAGGTGGCCATTCTCACATTCAAATGGAACACACATCTGTGTTAAAGCTAAACTGAACAATCTGGGGTTCTCCAGACGTTTTGCACTATCACAATTTCTGTTCAGGTGGGGTTATTTTTGTTTTTTGTTTTGGTAATGTGTAAATCTGGTTTATTCCTCTCTTAATAAAAACAGGATTAAAAGCTTTATGTAAATCTTATTTTGTTTTGTTTTGAATTCCTAATGTGTGGAAAAGCACAAAATTTCAGTTCATGTGTCACAATGAAGAAACTACTGTGGTTTGTTTTGCTTGCAGGAGGAGAAAAGGAAGAAAAATTGAATAACAGTACCAGTCATTCGCATTTCCTAGTAGACAATTTTGGAAATGCCAGTTTACTAGCTCAATCCCAGCTGATAAACAGCTGTGCAAGAACATGCACTGATAACGTAAACTACCGTATTTGCCGGCGTATAAGACGAGCCCCCAACATTTCCACTCAAAATATAGTTTTTGTTATATACTCGCCGTATAAGACGACCCCCCCACTTGGAGGCATGTTTTTCAGGGCAAAAAAGTCATCTCATACGCCGGCAAATACGGTAAGTTGTAACACTTGGGGTATTCTGGATATAATTCTTGATTGACACCCCCGCCCCTTTCCCCCAAACTTACAAAGCCACCAAAATGCTTTAGAGAGGCAGCTTCGCCTTTCTCAGGCTGGCACTCAATTCCTCTCCCTTTCTTTGTGACAGCCCCCGCGTGCGTGCCATCGGGACTCCAAGGGTGGGGGATGGACAGCTGCCAACTCTCTCTCTCTCTCTCTCTCTCTGTGTGTGTGTGTGTGTGTGTGTGTGTGTGTGTGGTGTGGAGGGTAATTCCGGCTATCTCTGGCCTCAGCTCGGTTTTAAAGTCGCTTGGCCGGTTCCCAAGTCGCAAGCGCGCGCTGGCCGGGAGACGCGGCGCCGGGTGGAAGCTCGGTGCAGGGGAGGCGGATCTTTCTCTCTTAAGCGGGGAGGGGAGGAGGGGACAAGAGGAGGGACGGGACAGGACAGGGGGTGGGAGGAGGTCCCTCGCCTTCTTCCACCGCCCACCGGACCCTTTTCTTCCCAAGGGGACCCTGGAAAGCAGCTCGGGAGCCGGGTGGCCCCGCCCAGCGGGGTCCCATCAGGAACTTCCCGAGGACACACACCCCCCGCCCCAAGCACAGCCCTCCCGGTCTTTCAAAGAGGGAGGGAGAAGCGGGAGGAGCAAATTGCCGCCCCCCGCCCCGCTGCCCAGAAGGAGGGGCGCCACAGTCCATCCCCCCCACCTTCTCCCCCCCACTCCCCGGGCCATTACGCGGCTCGGGGCTGGCTGGGCGAAGCGGCCCCGCCAGAGACCCTCCCGCTCCACCCCCACCCCACCTCCAGATTGGCCTCCGCAAGCACCCCGAGCCGGGCGGAGGGTGGGTGGGTGGGTGGGTGGGAGGAGGAGGAAGAGAGACTCCGGCTGGGCTTGAAGGGGCTTCGCAAGTTGCGGAGCTCCGCCCCCGTCGCTCTTGCACCGAGTGACAACGTATTTACCGGCGTATAAGACGACCCCCCCACTTGGAGGCATGTTTTTCAGGGCAAAAAAGTCGTCTTATACGCCGGCAAATACGGTACTTTGAATTCATATTTATTGCAGGCATGCCAAAGTCATATTGCTAATTTTAAAGAGTCACAATATGAAAATTAACAGCCCCCAAACATGTTTTCATGATAGAAATAGTGCAGAAAAGTATCAGTTATTGCAGCATATTTATACTGAACAAACCTTTGCCCAGATGTGTATTAATTGACATATATCTTGCTGTTCCAGTAAGGCTCTTGTGTTCTCTGTAAGGTATATGTTTTTGTGTTTCAGGATCAATGTACTCCTTGGCCAATCCAAAGTCTATTATGTGGATGACATGTTCTTTCTTATTTCCTTGCCGGCCAATAAGAAAATTCTCTGGCTTGACATCTCTATAAATGAGATTCTTTGAGTGCACAAATTCCATTCGAGTAATCTATAAAAAGACAAAAAAAAAAGTTATTCTATATCTCCGAATTAAAAATCCTTTGCTAACTGCTCACAACTAGTATTTCGAATTAAGGTTCACATGTACAGGATCACAAGATATGAAAATACCTACTAGCTTCATATACCAAGATGCTTTTTTGCAGTAGTATAAATGCATTCCTTTATTTAGCTAAAGGAAATGGAAAATGTAAGATAAGTAGATCACGATCAATTTAAGAAGCTACCTTCTAAAGAATGCAAAGGAATTGTACTGGGTTAGGCATTTTGTTCCTTAAAGATTATTGTCCCACACAGTTATACCAAATGAACCAAGAAAAGGCCACAACATGCCTCAAACTATCTAACAGTCCCTAGTAAACAGTTTGAAAGCCACAGTCCGTGATCTGATTTCTGTTTGTAACACTCATTTGATGCAGCCTATCTTAGCCACAAATCACTGTAATCAAACTAGCAGCTTGGCTTAACTACGGTAGTGCTCTTTTAAGTGACTGAGTTTCATTTTGGAAACTCTTTGCTGAATCCATGCTGGTTAAATACAACCAGAATAAGCCTATAAAGAAAAGTTTGCGTAAGAGCCCCAAAAAGGCAGTACTGTAATTGGAAATATTTGAGGTTGGAAGAAGGGAGGAATGTTTACAAAACTATTCTTTTACTCACCAGCTGAATTGCTATCATTAAGACAGTCTTCAGAGTGAACGTTCTATCACAGAGGTCAAACAAGTCCTCCAAACTTGGACCAAGGAGCTCCAGTACCATGGCATTGTATTTTCCACATGGACCATAATAAAATACTTGTGGGAAACCTTCAACTGAATCAAATGCAAATAAAAAATAAAAAAATTAAGTGCACTATATCAAGAGGATGTCACAGAAGGAAGAAAAAAAGCCTCAAAACCACCAGCTTTGACATGGGCCACCCAAATAAAAGTGTTAGAAAAATATATCCCAAGTTTCTTCATCACCACGTTTCATTTGGTCTTTCCTTTTCAAAAGGAAACCCCAAATTTTGAATTAGACCTATGCCAGTATAGCCATTCGTGACAATTTATATCCACTGGCAAATTCAATTCACTGAATTTGGTGATGGCTTACTGAGCTAAGCAGACGGTCTCTAAGATAGTTTGTAATTTTTTTTTCCATTTGGGACAAACTGAATCAAATCACCAGCTACTTTTCCAAGGTACCACCAGTTTCAAATCAGTTAACAAATGCCACATGGACAGTGTCAGGGTTCCCTCGATTGCCCTAATTAAATCATGAGCCTTGAGCCAAGCTTCAAAAGAATCCAAAAGATTTATTAGGAGCAACATGTTGGCATTGACCCATATGAAGCCAACTCTGCCATTGTCATTTACGGTCACCTGTGACCCTGTTTCCCCCCTCCCCTCTGGGTGTGTCATCAATCACATTCTCCAATGAAGGATTTTTGAGGGCAGAAGATCTGGTAGCCTAGGCTACAATCTTTGGAAGATAAGCGTGGAATGTACTCCTGGTTTTAATTGCCATACTGCTCCTTCAGGTTTTTTCCCCCTCCTGCTTATGGCAACTCAAAAAACAGGCATAGGAATGCTTTACGAGTTGCCAGAGAGATATTATTTTAAAAAAACAACAGTGAAGATTTTTGGGGGGTACAGAAAATGTCATTTTGGGTCCTGCCTTGCATCTGATGAGTTATATGCACTATATTTATCACTGCTAAAAACTGCACCCTCTGATTTCTAGGATATTGTAGCTTTCAAATATATGGTTGGGTAAGTACTAGTTTCACTACACCCCTTTGCCACAATTTATTTTAACTCCTAAGAGAAAGATTTCTTACCTGAGCAGCCGAGGTGTTTATAAAATCTATACTCTAAGTGTAGTTGTGGGGCACGAGATTTTAATGGCTCCTATAAAACACAAAATAATGAAACAAAAATGAACTGATTATTTAATGGTATTGTTTTACTAAATGACAATGTAGGAGCAGGAATACATCAAATTGGTTTTGCACATTTGCTTTCCAGTTTGAATACACACACACACACACACACACGTGGCCATTCAAAGCAAGGCCTTTCTATTGTAAAATTTTATTTTATGCCACTCAGAGTCACATTTGTGAGATGGCTGGCTGTATAAATATAATAAATTTATAAGTAGTGCAAACATGTGGAAAAAACACATTGCTTTAAAAGGAGATAAACTGCCATGTCTTTTTAAATGTTCAACAAAATATATCAGTGTTTCTCAGCCTTGGCAACTTGAAGCCAGGTGGACTTCAACTCCCAAAATGTTGGGTGGAATTCTGGGAGTTGAAGTCCATCCAGTTTCAAGTTGCCAGAAGTTGATGAACACTGAAATATTTGATCATTTCCTAAATGTATACATACCCATTTTAGGACTGTGCCATCTTTATAGAAAAGATGAAAGATGATGGGAATGCAAAACATTCACTCTCAAAACATTCTGATCCTGAAACAGCCCACTCCAACCTCACAGAAAACAGTTTTGTATTCCAAAATTGGCTTCTTTCAGACTGAATCTATATCGCTAGCAAGATGGACGCACATCAATTCAATACATAATTAAATCTACTTCTCATGCCCACCAACTTAAGTGAGCTGACAGGTGGGCATGTAAGCAGGATTCCTCGTATTAGATTCTTCTATTCATCTGCTGCAGTCCTTTTAAGAACTTTGTGGCAAGCAGGAAGAGTTTTAAAAATAATCACTGGCAATTAAATTGAGCCAGAATTGGTTTTGGTGAGCAGCACAGCTGATACTGGATTGGTTTCTACAAAATTTAAAGGTAGTACCACAATACAGCACATTTATGAAACGTAGGCTGGATGCAATCAAGACAAACGTGGCTTGGGAAAAAATTTCTTGTTGGGCTAACCTTTGGCATGCAGCAATTTTTTAAAACCACAAATCTACTCACCAGCTTGATTGCTACATATTCATTTGTGTAAAGATTTTTGCCTGCAAGAGAAAGAGAAATTTGTTTCAAATAGCAACCAGCACATACAAATTATTATTTTTAGCTGTACGGGTTTTCTAAAATAAAAAAAAGGTTCAAATAGCTTATTGTTTTGTCAACTTTTCTTTGCAACTCACATTATCACTTAACAACCGTGTTATTAACTTAATTGCCGTGGTTCACTTAACAAACTGTGGCAAGAAAGGTCGTACAATGGAGCAAAATTCACTTAACAAAGGTCTCACTTAGCCACAAAACCTTGGGGATCAATTGTGGTCTTAAGTCAAGGACTACCTGTAGTATACTGGCAATTCTGGCTAGCCAGGATTGAAAGCTACCCAACCTGCCATGCTCTTACCTAGCCTAAGCTCCCCAAAATTGCCACAGCCGATCTTCTTGCCAACCCTAAAATTGGGCCCAACCATGAGAACTCCAGCCGCCGAAGTGGAACTTGATGCTCGGGAACTGTGCGTACTTCTTCCTGGATTTGCCTTCCCTGTTCGCCTTTCATCTTTCTCCCTAGTGATATGGTCCATGATCTTGCAATAAGAAAATATCTGGTAGTAAGTAGGATTTGGTCTTTGCGCTTATTCTTGAAGAGAGAAATATAGATCCAGAAGAATCATTGGGTCAAACTATAAAATCCTTTGGAGATCTTTTGGCATCATATCCAGGCTGTTCAGGCACTGTCACGGAAGGTCCGGGGATGACTTCACCGCCCTCAGCGAGGTAGAGGAAAACCTTACACTACCTGCAGAGGGAGAAAGGGGGGGCAAGGGGCAAGGTCACAATCTGATTGGTAAAGGAAGGAGGTGAAACAAAACAGGTACAAAAAAAAATCCCCTTCTTACGTATCGAGAGGAAAAGCGAGTGACTCAAAAGAATTGTTGGGTGCAAAAAAAAAAAAAAAAGAGGGTCAGTAAGATTAAGACGAAAAGGTATTCTTGGCGGTGCGCTTGCTAGACAGCCAAAGCATGTCAAAGTTACCGATCCCTGATACTACAGGTTTATGATTTACTTGTAACCTAATTCTATGGTCTTACCTGGCCTGGAAAGGAAAGGCATAAAAGCATTTTGCTGTTCAACCCGCCCAAAAAATGTTTGTTCCAGCTACATGTTTGTGGTGAAACCAATCTGGCTGGCTGAACACTGAGCCACTATACTCCCCCCTAGAATGTAAGAACCTCATGGAACTTAGGTGGCTGTGATAACACAATGAGCTTTAAGGGAGTTCAGGAAAAAATAGTGACAGCGGTCAGGACCATAAAGAAGGCAAAGGTGCCTTTGTCCTGAATAATCCAGAAACCTGTCTTCTTTTGACTTTTAAAATAGTAAGTAATAATGAGTAAGTCTGTAAATCATCCCACATAATACAAAACCTAACATCTTCATTTACTTCTAGTATGGAAAAATGTGAAGTAAAAAAAATTCCAAAAATAAGATATCTGAGTTAAATATACAGTTAACTACCTACAATGGCTAATATTTTTTTGTATTTTGAAGGGATTTTTCCCCCCCTATTCCTATTCAAGCTAGCAGCTTGAAAAAGGCAAGGAAAACTGAGCTTTCGACCAAGTCTGAACTGTGTGGTCTCATAAGGAATTTTGCCTTGAAAACAAAACGAAAGTTTAATCTTTTGGTGTCAGGTGTGAATGAAAACAAAATAGGTCTTTTGGAATAAAAGAAGTCAAATATTCTGATGTATTAAACACATCGAAATTTGGGTTCTAAGCAGTGGGTTTTTTTTCTTTTTAAGGGACAACATCTGAAATCCATTCTGTATTACAGCAATTTTTGGACACTGCTGGATTGTTTACGGGAGACATATTTTGAGCATCACAAATAGAAAATCACTCATCACTGGGACCAACAATATGTCCCCTACATAGTTTTAACATTTTCATTATTGTGAATGATATGCCAATGTAAATGCTGCTTACCCTATCCTGCATAATATTAAAAATTTCAAATGTGTGCTGGGTACATATTAAAGTTATTTTAAAAAAAAAATCAGTTGCATATCCCAAGATATAGAATTAATTGCATAATGCAACCACCACAAAGTGAACAGAAAGCGTGCCAGAAATACATACAAATAATTAATGCTAGTACACTAAACAAGGAATAGAAATCTGCTGATGGCTTATATTTTGGAATTAGTTATATAAACATCAAACTAAAGGGGTGGAAAGAACAGAGTTTATAACCTGACTTTGGAGTTTGGTTCTGAAATCAAAGAGCCAACTGACCATATTAATAGGCAACCATTTCGAATGAACCACTAGGTAAAAACACCATAATCTAAATGCAACCACTGGCTCATCAATGCATACCAATTATATACATTTTCAATTAATCTGAATAGATTTACCACCTATTTTGATGAACAGTCAACAACTGGAGGTGGTTGCCATGGAAGTGGCACATAGTTGTGCCCACGCAATAGGACTGAGAAGCTGAAAACAGTTTCTACAGGAGAAACTGAAACCTTGATAGTGCAAAAAGGCTGGAAAGGAGAATTAAGCACTGCTGAAGAAGCTTTTGGATAAGAGGTGAAACATTTTCAAGGAAGAAAACCAAGGAAGCTCAGTTGACTTTTGAATAGCACCTTTGGGACAACCATGACCTGAATGATTGAGAATCTCCATATACATTTATTTATTATAAAGAAGTATTTAAAAGGAAGATATATAGATATCTTTGTTGTAGTAATTTATAAGTTCAAAGTGTTTCGTTAAATGGAACTGAATTCTACAATTTTAATCACATTCCTCCCAAATCAAAGGCAGTATATGTCCATGTAACACTGACCATCAAACTGCCAAAATAATGTTTTTTTTTCCTGCCAAATAGAAAGAAGTAGCATTCCATATACGGATAGTTAGAGAAAAGATAAGCACATTTCTAGAAGAGACAAATCATGACTGTATTAGAGTACCATGAAATTAAAACGGAACAATTATACCAAAGCAAAGCTATACATTTCAATGTCAAAGAATTTATATCAGTTGCTAGTAAAAGCAAGCTTGAGGCTGCTTTCTCTAACAAATGTGTTTTAGTTTTAAAACTACAGTTCCTGATATACCTACAGGTATTTCCTGTCGACATGAGAATTTGAGCTTCTGACAAAAGGTATAATCTATTCTAGGATTTTCTTTTTTTAAATTACTACTTATACTGTGTTCCACTTTCAAAAACTGCTTTTATTCTTTCACATAACAATACTTGTCTGATTGTTTCAACTATATTTAACATTCCTCTCATTTTAGCCTGTACCTTTCATCTCCATCTTTTTAAGTGTACCTATTTCAACATCCTGATACAAAGCATTTAATTTGTTGACGCAAGGTCTTCAGACTTGATATTTACCAAACATAATTCCCCAAAAGTCAAAAAAGGAATTACGTCCAACAGAGAGAAGTATTGCAAAAAGATCATCCTTCAGCTACAGACCATAATAAACCACTGCACTTTAAGCACTGAGTCATCTAGGTTGAAAGACAAACAAGGCAATCAAGAAAGGGCAAAGAGGAAGCCCGAAAGAAGAAATAAAAGACAGAAAAGAAAAACATGTTCCTTTGGTGCAATCCCTCCCTTACATCCTTACAAACTGTTCAAGTTTGACTTGTCACAGAGGGAGCCCATGCTAAAAGTTATCCCAACCAGGTTGCAATTCAAAACTCAGGGGAAAATGGGTCCCTTCACCAAGGTGGAGAGTTCAACTTTGTTTAAAGAAAAGACGGAAACTTTCTTTTTCCAACAGAAGGAGAAATATACACTTCGGGGTTCAACTGTGGAGATCTCGCCTCAAAGGTGCTTTTTCAAAAGGCGACTATGTTGTTTTTCCCTTGAGGAAGAAGCTTCACATCTCATCCAAGCAGCTTTATCCGAAGAACGGATGAAGCTTCTCGGATGGGAAGCGAAACGTCTTCAAAGAAAAACAAAGTCCAGTTGCCCTTTGAAAAAGCACCTTTGAGACAAAGCATGAGCTGGATGACTGAGAATCTCCAAAGACACCTGGAATCCTTGCTGCTCTCTCTCCAGCTTGGCGGATTTTTCTTGCAGGCGTTTTATTACCCCACTAAGTATCTTCTTCAGGGCTACTACAAGAGAGTGGAATTTGCAAAATGGGGGAATGAACAACAAAATAAATGTCTTCAAGAAAACAACCAAGCTCGGAGGGCACAAGGACCCACAGCGCAGCCCATGTATGTATGTATGTATGTGTGTGTGTGTGTATGTATATATGTATATGTGTGTATGTATATATATATATATATATATAAGAGAGAGATGTATGGTATGCATGCATGCATGTTGTATGTATGTA